TCTTGAGTGAGATACCACTGTCTTAATTCCCATCCAATTCAGGATCATATATTTCACCTCATCATGCATATTTCGATTATATGTTGCCTCCAATATGTCTAAGTTGACCACTTGTCTCGAAGCTCTCTGGTACTTGTCAAGGGTTCTCATCACGTAGTCAGTTTCATTCTTGGTAGTCCTAGCAAAAAGAAGGCAGTCATCTGCAAAAAATAAATGAAACAACGGCGGTGCATTCCTCACAACTTGGACTTCATGAATATGACTCGCCGCCACCTCCTTCTTTAGAAGACCTGAAAGAACGTCAGCACAGATAATGAATAAATACAGAGAAAGGGGGTCTCCTTGACGCAGACCCCTTTTAGGCTTGATCGTGCTACTAGGCTGTCCATTAATCAGGATCTGGTAAGTCACTGTGTAAATACATTTAGCAATCAGGTTGACCATCGAATTAGGGAAACCCATAGCTCTTAAAACTTCATCCACAAAGGACCATTCCAATCTGTCATACGCCTTAGCCATATCCAGCTTAAAGGCCATTGCCTTTGTTCCCAGATTTCTTCTTTTTCATCCAATAAAAACAATCCATGGCTATCAGTGCATTATCAGTGATGAGTCTCTCTTTCACAAATGCACTTTGTTCTTCATCTGTCAAGGAAGGCAACAAGGGCTTCAACCTATTAACAATGGTTTTTGTCGCTAACTTCATCGCCACATTGCATAGGCTAATAGGCCGAAAGTCCTTAGGAGGATTGGGGTTCTTGCACTTCAGGATAAGGACAATGCGGGTCTTATTCAGCTCCTGCACATCTTTCCTATCATTCAAAACTCCAAGGACCCATATAACAACCTCGCCCTTCACAATATGCCAAATGTTTGGAAGAACAGGGCGGGTAAACCATCTGGCTTGGGGTTTTTTAAAGGGTGCATTTGGGACAAAGCCGCTTCCACCTCATTCTCTGTGAAAGGATCTTCACACCACTGTCATTGGTCATCAGATAAGTTCTCTTGAACCACCTGGCAAACCTCCTCAATAGCTGAAGGATTAGAAGTGAACATTTCAGAAAAATAATTCATCAAAATCCTCTCACAATGTTCCTCACCTCTTCACTAAATGCCTTTGTCATCTTTTAGCTTAGCAATATGGTTTGTCTTCCTCCTCTGATTTGCTTTTTCGTGAAAGAGCTTCGTGTTCCGGTCGCCGTCACTAAGCCATAAGGCCCATCTGTCTCCCTCTCCCTCACTACTTCCTTGCCTCCACATAACTTCCTCAATACGGAGGAGATTGTTTTGTTGAGCTTCTAAGGCTTTATAAACTCTCATATCCTCTTCTCCCTCTCTCCATCTGTCTTTCTCATTCAGCAAGGTCTCAATACGCTTCAGCTCAGCATTAATAGCTCCTGGTTGAAGGTCTCTCAACTCTTCCCTCATTTCAATAATGCAATTTAGTTTCCTTATCCCACTCCCCGTATTGTTCAACCAGAGATTCTTCATCAATTCTTCACATCTATTATCCATAGCCCAAGCATCCCCAAACCTTAATAACCTAACCTTCTTCTTTCTATTGACATCCAGAGGAGTATCCAACACCACACCTAAGATGTTTAATCTTCACAGTAGGAAATCTTCTCAAAAAGTTTGAAGAGGCTAACCCCCTATCCAGACGACACTGGATGTTAGCCTCATTATGCCTCCCATTATTCCATGTGAATCTATAACCTTCAAACCCCAAATCAACAAGTTCACAATCTGCTATTGCTTGGCTGCCCTAGTTCAGTTGACTCACGGATTTGATTAAGCCACCCTTTTTATCTGCTGCCTCCATTACATCATTAAAGTCTCCTACATACAACCACTTCTCCCCACATTCTCCTTTCAACCTCTTCACAAGCTCCCACGTTTCTCTCTTGAGATTTTCTTCAGGAAAGCCATAAGTGCCACAGAAGAACCAAGGATGTTCCTCTTCATCATCAATAACAGACCCACTTATATGATTTGCTGAGTAGGAAGTAATACTCAAATTCGCCTCTTCCTTCCACATCAACACCAGTCCACTTGCTCTATCCCTACCACTTCCTCTACAATCGACAGCTAGACAGTTATCAAAACCTACCTTCCTCACAATTCTTTGTAGCTTAAACACTTTAAGTCTCGTCTCCATGATGAATACAATGCCGGGATTTTCAAGTCTAATGAGCCTTTTCAAGGCTTGAACTGTATAGGGACTCCCTAACCCCCTACAGTTCCAACTCAAAAGATTCATTGGTGTAGGAAATGTTGGTCCTCAAACCATCTTTGGTAATTTTTGTTCCTCTTCAAGCTCTACGACCCTCTTCCTCTTAAATTCCTCACAGCTCATGTCTTCTACGGATCCCTCAGTAATCATCACATCTACAAGATGTTTATTCCTCTCAATGCCTCCTGGGATTTTTCTATTGACTTGTTTCGATTTCCCCCGTTCTTTTTTCGACTCCAGGTCTTTTGTTTGACAACATTATCAACACTAATGTTTTGGTTCTTTGACATGGGTGCAGTTATGGAAACAGCCCCAAACGATTTTGCCACAGTCTCAATCTCCACACACTCTTCCAACTTCTGTGGTTCTGGAATTACGGCTCCTTGGAGAGACTCACCTGTACCAATCTTGATCTTCCCTTGCTCAACCTCCACATCGTAAACCCTAATCTAAAAACATCCAAATGCATATCCAATCCTGACGGTTGTTCCTCCCCCGAAACTCTATTGAGAATAAGAAGGTTTTAATCGAAACTCCAGGGTCCGTTGCGTAACACTGATTCTATGTCTCTTTTCGTCGCAAACTTGAAGAGAAACAAGTTCTTGTTGAGCTCTTGTGTTTCAACGTGATTCTTGAGTCTCCATGCCATGACGATAGTGTTGATAAATGCTGACATTGAAGCTATTTTTAGTTAGAGTCTGCCCGCTAGAGTTCTCTGAAACACTTCAATCCCTGCCACCTCATCGTCTTCCGCTGTCACTCCCTCCTCCTCCACCTTCGATAATGGAATGTTACGCCATATATCCATCACTGAGAAAGGGACCAGTACTATACTCGATTAAAGAATAAGCATCTCTTAAAAGAAGCAGAAAAACACCACATGCAGTGGGAAGAGACCAGAAAAAACTGGGTCAAAAACCACCGTTTCCAACCTTAGATTGAAAACGGGGAGAAAGCACGGTAATTTTAGAGAGAGAGAGAGAGAGAGACTCTCTAGCAAAACATGTGGGTTAGCATGTTATATGTGTATAGAAAATCATGTTTGCCTTGAGGTGTAGATAGTCAACCTTGTTGACTTTTGCATAGATGTTCATTACTCCATCAAAGGACATGTGATAATTTTAAACTTGAGATTTAAGTGATCAATCTTATTAACTCTGACACAAATGATCATTACTCTATCTAAGAAAAGACGATCGTGTCCATATCTAGCTGCAAAAATTATCATAAATTTATTTCTCGTAGATGGTTTATAAATTGTGTTACACATGAAAACAAACACATACGAATATCAATTTATCAATTATATTATTATCATCGAAACTTCACAATTAGAGATTATTATTCTTTTAAACTATTTTTTAATTCAAACGTCTCCATTTTTATTTTTATGGTGACGAACATATATATAATTTTATGAACAATTTATCAAACAGGATTTAGAAGATGATGTTTTAAGCTCCCCTAAATCTTAACCAAATTAAAAATAATAAATCTAAACTAACTTGTAGCATGTGGCAAACTTTTTGTTCAATAGATTCTTAACATATAGGCAATAATGGTTTAAATATTTAACAAATATTCAAACCTGATTAAATAATTATTGATCGTGATAAATACACATTGATTTAGCTTAATATTTACGTCTTTGCATGCACATCATAATGTTATATCTTTCTCCATCTTCTATAAAAAAATATAGAAGAAAAAAAAACATGGAATTTAAAAGTATTCGTAGAATAAAAACATAAACTTTTTAAAACGTAATGATAAATAAGCAGCAAAAACAGCAGAGTAAAAATTAAACTTTTTTCATTGGCTAAACAGAGTGTTACATTAAAAAAGTCCCAAAAGGGAAGTACAACTAAACAAAAGCAATATATATATATATATATAAAACAAAAAACACACAACCACATGTTAAACTTGTTTCGTTGAAGGTTGAGATAGAACTCGAAATCAAAACTATTCATCATGAAAGATATAAATCCAAATCTGTCTGTAATAAATCTTGTTTGTAGGGGGGGATTTCTCGAGAACTAGAAAGTTTAACTAATAGAATTTTGCAAATTTGTGCCCTAAAACACAAGTTAAAAAATTTGTTTTAAAAACAACAATAAAACTCCAAATATTTAATAAAGTCTATACACAGATTTTAAAATAAAATTCTACAATAGTACTAGCTCTTAACTTGTCATGTATACCCCCAAGTTAGCATTGTCTTGGTTTTTATTAGTTGGGTTCTACAAATCTTTGCTCTATTGTGTGGGAATTAGTCCCTCGCCGGATTGCTTCTATCGTTCGTCTGGAGTTCCACTTTGGGCGTCAAAACACACACACACAAAAAAAACATGTTATACGCATGGTACAAGGCCAAGGCCGCAGCAACAATCTTCAGAAATTTTACAAATAATTGAGATATTCAGAAAAAATGTTCTATCCAATTCAGTACATCTAACCCAGGAACAAATAATACACATAATGAATTGAGACCAATGACCATAGATTTTAGGTCTCCAGAAAAATCTTCAACATTGTAAAACAGTGTATTTGGGTTGGCTAGTTACCTACATTTCCCAATTACATACAGTCAAAAGAGCAGGATTCATAATACAAAGGCATCAGGAAACCTACAACAGAAGACTCGAAAAGGAAGAAAGAAAGAAAAGGACAGACCTATGATACAAAGGCATCAGGAAACCTACAACAGAAGACTCGAAAAGGAAGAAAGAAAGAAAAGGACAGACCATAGGTTAAAACTCCAACCTCAACGTTTGGAATACTGAGGGGCTTTACGAGCTTTCTTGAGACCAACTTTCTTCCTCTCAACAGCTCTAGGATCTCTGGTGAGAAGCCCTTTTAGTCTCAAAGGTGCTCTATAGTCTTCACTAACCTTCAGCAATGCACGAGCAACGCCAAGGGTGATCGCTTGAGATTGACCAGAGAGGCCACCACCCTGAGCTTTAACAAACACATCATAACTAGTATCATATCCCAAAATTGCTAGGGGAACCTTAATGTATTGAAGCCATAATGGATTTCCTTGAAAATATTCCTGTACAAAAGTTAAAATTTAACACAAGTTAGATAAACAAAGATTAAACAGAGATGAAAAATAGCACAAGGACTAAAAAAGATTAGAAATCAAAGAAAAGTTGGAATCTAACAACTAAGAGTATTGATCTCTCAGCATATGACTAAATTTTGTATAAGATGGAAGAGAATCCAAGCTTCTACTTTTTTGGATTAATAACACTACATTAGAATTCGGTGAATTGATTTTCAAAGATAATCGAATGTAATCACACGTGTCAATATAGTGTCGACATTAGTGATTGACATGAAATGTCGGTTCTAGATAGTAACGATTAATATTTTTTTTATTCTAAACAATATTAAACTAGATAAGATTTAGTTGAAATGAAAATATTATCTTCCTTTCCTTTCCTTTCTAAAACCCTCCACTCCGTTTCAAACACTCAACTGTAAAATTTGCAGTTCTATGTATTTTGAATGTGGCTAAGCACAAACTTTAAAAACACAACGCAGACACCTTGACAGAGTAATAATTTGAAAAAAATGAATAAATTAAACGAAATTACAAGTGTCTGTGTAATTGTGTACTAGGTGCAGCATTTTCTAATTGAAATTCTCTAATTGATTAACCAGTTAGCAAGATCCTTTCACTTTCAGAATTAAGTTATTCAAATTCAAGCATGTTTCTCATGAAACCCTAAATCGAATGCTACATTATAAATAGTCAATTGGAAAACAGTGTTTAACAAGAAAGTAAAGAAGAGAGGGAGGGAAAGACCGTGGCGTCGCGGTAATTGACGACGAATCTGCCGGTTCCTTCCTTGAGAACAACCCGAGCGATGGCAGTTTTTCGGCGACCGGTAGCGATGATATGTTGAGCGGCGAATCCACCGGGAAGTCTGGATTTAACGAATGCCTTGAGGTCAGCAATTTCCGGTTCGGCGGGAGGAGCGAGTGATGAAGCGGATACGGTTAGGGAGGGGAATTTGGAAGAGCGAGAGAGGGAGAAGGTTCTGGGGAGAGAAAGAGGGGTTGATTTGCGAGAGATGTTGGAAGAAAAAGAGAGGGAAGAGAGGGAAGATGTGAGGGAAGATAAGGAAACCGCCATGGTATTCACTGCTGAAGCTATGAATGGGTAATGAAGTGAAGGATGTAGCCAGAGAAAGAGGATAATGCTTTTATTTTTCAAAAATAAAATACAAAAAATGTATTGACTTTTTGTGAATTTTTTTTAAAGCAACAATATTATATAATTTAATTTCTAAATAAAACAAACTTTCAACTTTGAAACTCATCCAGCAAACATTCACCAAATGGTTTGGCGAAATAGTTAAAATGTTGTTTCAAGTCATTTGCTAAATGATTGGGCGAATTAGTTAAAATGTTGAAAGTTTGTTTTATTTAATAATTAAATTATATAACATTACTACTTTAAAAAAACTTCCGACTTTTGTTTACTAATTATACTATTAAGTTTGTTTACTAAGAATAAAATAAGGATAATGTTATGTTTTAAAAGTTTGTATTGAAAATATTAATAAAAAATTAAATTTTTTTGTTAATATTAAAAGAAGTGTACGATTTCGAAAATTTTATTTTTATATTTAGTTTTTAATCATAATTATTGAATGTTCACGAGAGTTTGACTTTTATTTTAATTACTTACTAGCGTTCAAATTAGTATACACGTTAATCGATTAACGTATTTTTTATTTGATTTTGGTTTTAATTTAAATGATTTATAATATATATTTCTGTTTATTAATTTAATTTTTTATTAAATATATGGTCAATGAAATGTTTCTAAAGATTGTTGCAACAAAACTCTTTCATTTATTGAAGCAATACTTTAAAAAATGTTTTAACATTTGATTCTCATTTTCCTGCATAATCTTGAAGGTGTGTATAATCTTTAATATTTATTGTTGATTTTCTCTTATATTATTAGTATTGTATTGAATACAAATGAACCAATTCATAAATAAACAATTCCAATATTTCTTATCTTTAACCAAACGGTTAAAAAAGAAAAACACTTAAAAAAATAATGTTTCATTGTGTTTAATAATATTCTATAACCAAATCAATATAGTTTGATATTTAGTTGTAACAACCAAATGCAAAGTCAACAAAATAGATTCTAAAATAAAGACAAATCATCTTTTAAAGAAATAATCATAACACTGTAAAGGAAAAGAAACTTCATATCAATTAACAATGAAGTATGATAAAGAATTAGAGAGGAAATTAAAGACTAATGACCAAATAAAAGATGAAGATGAATAATTTTTTTTCTCTATTTATCTTTGAAAAACCATAAATAGTATGATGATGTATTTTTTTTCTTCATGTTACCACTGAATGAATGAATTTTTATTTTCTATTCATTTATAAGTGTGTTTTGCACTTCCATCATTTTTTGTAAGAGATGCATAACTATCAAAATTGATTTTTTTCCATTAAAAAAAAATCAACTTTGATAGTTATGCACATCTTATAAAAAAAATCGTATCATTTTGTTAGCACTTTATTTATAAAAATTAAATAAATTGTGTATAACTTAAAGGATAAAATGGAAATGAAATAGATTTGTCCAAAATCATGTCTTCTTTATCTTTATCTATAGTTATAGAATAGATTATAGTTATAGATATATTAAGTAGAGTTTAGAGAAACCATAATAAATATTATAAAAAGAAAGAAACTTTTTTATAAGAATAAAAAAAATCATAAATAAAAGTTAGGGAGAGAAATACAAATAAAATCCACACATAAACTAATCTCACATAAAGTGAATTAAACAAAATTTTGAGAGATTAAAAGAAAACTTTATGTTCTTGTTAGACAAACATATAAATGAATCTTCACAAAACATGTATCCACAGTGTGGTTCGTTTGACCGCAGTGAGTACACACCCTGTTACCTCCCTTGGTTGAAGAATAAGGACCTTTACCTTTGTTGAATGATGCTCCCTTACCATTGCCTTGAGTGTAGACATGAAGAGCAGTGGTGGAGACTTCAGGGGGATCAAGAGGAGCACTGGAATTCATCTCGCGCTCTTGTTGGATAACCAAAGAGAAAGCCTTGTCAATGTCAGGAAGAGGATGCATCATCATGATTTGGAATGGGAGAAACGTTCATTCAATCCCTTTAAGAACCTAATCACATAGTCTTGCTCGTGATAGGTTCGAGAAGATTGAATAACATCATAAGAACTCGCAATAGAGCATTTGCAGCAAGGGAGGGGTCAATAATTTTCTAATTCATCCCAATAAACTTTCAATTGTATAAAGTATTCAAAAACATCGAGAGTACCTCGCGAAATCGGTACAAGTCTTCTTGAATATCTGAAATACAGAAGATGTCTTTTTGAGAAAACCTAATGCGAAGATTCTTCCAAACACCTGCTGCATTATCAATCCAGAGCACAAATTTCGCAATAAATTCGAAAATCGACCGCTGAATCCAAGAAAGCACTATTGTATTGCAGAAAATCCATTGTGCGTAGAGTGGATTAGAAACTTGAGGTTTTAGGAATGTGCCATCAACGAACTTTTCCTTATTTTTGGAAATCAATCCAATATGCATTGATCTTGATCATATGTGGTAGTTTTTGTTATCTAACGGCGGAGCAGCAAGAATCAACGTCAGACTTTCGTTCGGATGAAAATAGCAAGGATTTGCAGAGTTAGTCGCAAAATCAGAGAAACTCTAGTGATCCATAGTAAAACTGGTGAGAGAAAAAAAGGAAAGGAAGAAGATCGCCGAAGTAGAAATCGAAGGAGACTAGCGAAGAAATTATCAGTGAGGATGAAGAAGTAACAGTGGTCACCACCAAAGCTCAATGAGCTGTCATACCATCTTAATATTGAGTGAATTGTTCAGTGAAGAAGAATGAGGCACATGTAATATCAAAATGATCTCTATTATCCTTCCTGAACCAATGATATTCAGCCAATTATATATATACAATATACAAAGGTAAAAAGGAAAAGATATAATAATGATCTAACTACCTATCTGTTTAGTGTAACTGTATTGGAATAATTTTATTGATATAATGTTTTGGTCACTCAAATATTGAGAATGGATTGTCTCCGACGAAATCCTACTGGATCGTATAACTTCTAGCCCTTAAAATTCAATCATTTTCTTTTTCGTATATTTTTAATATATATTTTAATGGATGAGATTTCAACGAAGGCTAAAACCATGCGAAGGAATCTAAACCCTTCAAGTGTCACACTTATTTTAGTTCCAACACAAATGTTTTGCCTCGAGAATAATGAAATGACAAGTGTTTTTTTTCCTTGCAGCATCCACTTTATTGGCTTTTATTTATAAAAATTTTAAAACACTCTTTTTATCTTTGATTACATGATAAAATAGGAGATCAAAAAGTGATAATCAAACTTTTTTCTTTTTATATAATAAGAGATGACATTGTTATCGAAGTACATGAGATTGATTAAATATTTTCTAAAAACATAACTAGTTAAACTAATCTATAATTCAAACTAATTTCTAATTCATAAATAACATCTTTAGTACAACTCAATGCGATTTTAATCTCAATGTGACTTGACAAAGACTCATGATAAGTTGTGCAATGAGCTTTTACTGGCTCCATTGTTCATTCAATCTAATAGAATTCAATTCTCATATGAAGTTGATCCTCCCCACTTCTGCACACGACTTTCTGCTTCATCTGCCTGTGAAATTCAAAGAGATAAAATTAAATTTTAACAAACAACAACTTATGGTGTGTCTAAAAAAGTATTTATAATGTTATTATTGTTTATAGACTTAATGTGTTGTTTCTTTAAATGAGAAAACAAACATATACATAATTGAATAACAAAAAGAAAATTTTCAAATTTAAATTTTCTTGTGTATCATCTCATTTTGTTCTGCACTAATCTCAATCGTTTATTTGCAATTTTTCTCCCTCTTAAAAGTACATTTGTCAATTAAAAAACGAATGACGCATACCTCTTTTTTCCAATTGGTTACTGAAGTGATGATTATAAGGATAATGGTTTGCATGACTATGCCTCCAATCAAACCAGACCAAATACCCTAAAAAACAATCGTAAATATAGAAAACGAGTAAGATTAATAAAAAATAGATTTTTATAATACAATAGAAAACTACAAAATGGTCACGATTAGTCAAAAATAAATATTAATCATATTATTGATTACTAATCGCGTTTTTTTTAATAAAGTGAGAAATCACATGTTCGAACTCAGATATCTGCGTATCAGAGAGATATAGTACATTACCTCGGCTCCAAAACCAAATGTGAACCCTAACAATATTCCTGCCGGTAATCCAACAACATAATAACATCCAAGATTAATGTATGCTACAAGAGATTGCCAACCAGCTCCAACAGCAACACCTAAAACAATAACATAAAACACATGAAATTTATTAATTTTTCCTTTATAAGAAAAATCAACATTTATGTTTCAATTTTCATGTTACTAACCAGACAAGACTGGTTGAAGGCTGTTAAGAAGAACAGTGACACCAAGCAATGCAGCAAGTTTAGTTGTTTGTTTAGCAACTTCATCACTTGAGGTAAATAATTGAGGAAAATAATCTCGTGTTGTTAGGACTAAGACCATTGCAACAACACCGATGAAAATCGATGTTAGCGAAACCACTATCACTGAGAATTTTGCAGCCCGAAAATCACCAGCTCCAAGTTCATTTGATATTCTCACACTGTTCATAAATTAAACTTAAAGTTAATTAGTATTCACAACTTGTAAAAATAAAATAAAATAGGAGAAGAGAATTGATAATCACCTTATTGCACAGTTAAACCCTAGCGCGATCATCATATCCCAACCATTTATGTTCATACTGCAAAAATAGAAACGTCTATTAGCAACTATTATTAATCATAAATTTTAGTCATGTTCTTCCTATATAAACATCTTATACGATATTTTTCATTTATGAGTTTTCCCGTTTATATTACCATTTAAGTTATCTGCACGAAGTTTAATAGTATTGAACGCGAGCAAAATATATTGAAAAAAATCGAAGTCTTTTATTGAAAAGAAGAAAAAGAAATAAAAAGAACTTCTTACCAAATAGATATGGCATCCAAAGGTACTATAGGGTTTCTTAAATGCCCTGCTACCAGCACAAGTATCATCAAGTACCAAAACTCCAAGCTGCCGACACATTTCAAGAGTTCATTTCCATCAAATATTCGGTAAGTGTTATTTTTTAATCTCTACAAATATTTATAGAAACTAAGAACTTATTTAATCTGATATTAGACTATTAGTTAAGTTGAAATGTAAATGAAGGTTGAGAGAAATATACCATAACATAACAGCGGAAGCAATAGAAAGTTTGACAAAACTATACAAATCTGCGAATGCGAGCCATGAGAATCCATTCCATGCACCATCTGATTTGGTGATGAAAATGTACAAGAGTTGACCAATGACAATGAGCCACCATGATGAGTTAAGAGAAATTGCAGCTCCAACTAAGCCCCATCCAAGTTTCAAGATTAGAAACCAACTGAAAATTACATGGAAAACCAAAACACCTGCTGATATCCATAACATCACAAAGACTTTGCTTTGTGATTGTAAGAACTTTTGGATTGGAAAGTTTATTGCATATGCAAATAATTGTGGTATCATCATCAGAGCGAATTGACCTACAAAAAGAAAAATAAATGTAATAAATATGTATAGATGTTAATGATTTTAGTCTCAAGTGTTAATTAGACATACGAAAAATCTAACATATTGTGTAAATGAGTAAAAATAGATCAGGTCGTCCGATAGAAGTCGTATGACCGGATGTATATCAGACACATGTTAAATGAGATTTTTCTAAATTTTATTTAACTAAATAGGTTATATTAGTCTTTTAGTTTTAGACACGTAATAGATTTTTAAATAGGCTAACTTATCAAGACTTTTGAAAACGTCAAACTCATGATGAATAATATATAAGAGACCTGACTCATATATAAGTGTTCAAATTTTGAAGTCGTTGACGTGTTTGAGTCTTGAATCGTGATTGCGCTCTCAATGTTATGTTAAATGTTTGGGAAGTAGTATATTTATCAAAAAAGAGAAATCAGTGTTAAATTCTTTTGTGGAAGAATTTTGTAACCCATTCTGGTCTTCTCTGACTCGAGGGATTAGTCTATACAATTGTACGTCAGTTTTTACCGGAAAAAAAAGAGACAAAAATTTAACTGATATGAATTGAAGGAACTAACCAGATGCATCTGCTACGTCGTCAGCCTGCCCGACGAGCTTCAAGAGTAGAGGTGCCCAAATATAAAATGGTAACATCAAAAAGGCAGTAACCAACAAGATAATCCATGATCTTTGCATGTAAACTCCCATCATTCTTATTTGACCAGCACCAAATGCTTGTCCACATAGTGTCTCCAATGCACTTCCCATACCCAACTATTGCCAACAAAAAAGTTTATAAATCAATTAGTTTGACAACAATACGAGAGACGCATGTTCGAATACGCAATTTGCATTGCTCAGTGTGTGAAATTTTGGCTGCTAAAGAGTAGTATAATAATAAAGGGAAGATGAAAGTTTGTGTACCAAGAAACCGAAGGCAAATCCAGCAATGACAGAGTTTTCGACCGCAAAAGCAGCAAGGTCAAGCTCACCAACATGACCAACAAATGTTTGAGTGAATGCACCAATTGAGAACTGAGATAAGGTAGTCAATATTGCTGGACCAGCAATTAGCCACAGCTTCTTCGATTCCACGCCAACTTTGCGAACAAGTTTCAATGGCTTGCCTTCTTGATGATCAGCAACACTAGAAGAAGAGGCAGCATTGTCATCTAGTAGAGGAGTGTCAATAGCCATGGTTAATTTTAGATAACACTATATTTTGGTACTAAATATTTCTAAATGTGAAATACAAGTTTGAATATTTGAGTTATGTTACACTAGCTTGTGTTATATAGTTATATGCAAAATGACAGAAATTTTGGTCAAGCTAAAATGCAATGGTTGGTGAGGAAAGGAAAGGTAGTTGGTTGGTGAGTAAAGTGAGTAGTTCCTCAAAAATATGAAAATGAAAATGGCTAATTGTAACTATTATTATTAGTAGTGTAGACTTTCAATTTGGCTAAGTTTAGATACTAGTGTCACATACATGTGCTAGAACTTGTCCCTAGTAATTGATTATAGCGTAAATTAAGATTAGTTTGGTCCTTAATATGTTGATTATTGTAGTACAAACAAGTTTGGCTTGATTCAATTAATAAGGATAGTTTTGCATAAATAAATGAATAGTAAAATTGAATGAATGGTTGAAATTGGATAAACGTAGCAAGGTATTTGGAGAGTTCAATGGGGGTTGGCACGAGATAGGACACTGGTGGCTGCACCAGAAAGTCTTGCAACTCAAAATTAGTTGATGGTTGGGACTTGGGACTTAAATGCTACTACTCACTACTTTAAGAAACATGAAACATACTTTTCGCATTTCTTTTGCGTTCAAAATTTAACTAGTGTGTAGTGTTCCCGTATCATGCACGGAATAAATATTATTTTTTTAATTATTTATTTGTTTGCTTTAATTTATTTTAATTTTTTATTATTTATAATTATATGATAAAAGTTAAAAAAAAATTATTTTGTTTTTGTTTAAAATTGAGGAAATTTATTTATGATAGACTACAAATAAAACAATTTTTGCAAATAATGGTGTATCCAAATTTCTGCATAGGGTACCAAAAAAAAAGAGCATCACTTGACCTATGTACAAATGGTGTAAAGTTTAGTTTTTTTTAAGGAGTTTTGAGTTGTAACTAGAATTCACACACTAAAATACAGACTCAATATTTGTTGAGAGCTCAAATCACTTCATTTATTTTTTAAAGAAAAACTTGGCTTAAAAAGTCTTTACAACTTGAAAAGAGGTGTTAAGTTTACAATCGTTAGAAGTCTAATAAACATAATCAAAGATATTATCCAGACCCGAATAATAGGTCTATTTATTAACTAAACAAAGAGAAAATAACATTAAAGTAAAATTGATTTTATGGAAGAATAGGTCCATCAAGAATAAGTACATCAATCCCTCCTTTAAGTTGAATATTGTAAGTAAATCATCTTATTTCTATTACAGACATTAACCCAACATCTCTCGTAGCTTGATAAATTGTTCTTTCTTCAATGACTTTGTCATAATATTTGCAATCTGATTTTGGGTATAACAGTACTTCAATTCACAGTTCTTTCATTCACCAATTCTCTCAAAAAATGAAACTTCACATCTATGTGTTTACTCTTGCCATGGAACACGAAATGTTTTGACAATTGTATTATTGAAATGTTGTCACAATACATTAGGTTTCCTTCTTCTCCTTTATGCCCAAGTTTTTTCGAGTAACCTCATAAGCCAAATGTATTGACATGCGTAAGAAGCTGCGACGTACTCAGCTTCAGTGGTAGATAATGCAACCACATCCTACTTCTTTGATAACTAAGAAGTTGCACCTCCTACAAGAAGAAATATGAACCCATAAGTACTTTTTCTGTCATTAAGATCTCTGCAAAGTCGTTGTCCGTGTATGCCACCAAGTCTGTGATGCTTTCTCCTTTGTAAAGAATTCACATTTCAATTGTACCGTTAATGTATTTTAATATCCTTTTTGCTGAACACCAATGCTCCTCAGTTGGAGATAACATATATCTGCTAATCAAACTCACTTCAAACATAATGTCTGGTGTCGTTGCTATCAAGTACATCAAGCTTCCAACAACTTGCTTGAACATGGTTCAGTCGATCTAGGTTCCATTCTCATTCTTGGAAAGCCTTGTGCCTGGCACAATAGGATTTTCCAACTGGTTTGCTATCAGACATGACAAACCTTGCTATCACTTCTCTCGCATACTTTCTTTGATACATGAATATCCCCTTTGAATTGTGTATAACTTCCACGCAAAGAAAATAGTTCATCTTTCCCAAATCAGACATGTCAAATTCATGCATCATTGACATCTTGATTTCCTCACACTTACTTTTATTATTCTCAGTATAAATCAAATCATCAACGTAAAGACTGACAATTAGGAATTTACCTTCCTCATTTTCTTTTGTAAAGAGCGTGTGTTCAAAAGCACGCCTTTCAAAGCCCTCTCGAACGAAGTAGGATTCTATACGGTTGTACCATGCTCGCGGAGCCTATTTCAGTCCATATAAAGTTTTATTTAGCTTATATACCTTCTTCTCCCTTCTTCTCAAAGCTAGTAGGTTGTTGTACATACACCTCTTCTTCAAGTTCTCCTTGAAGGAATGCACTCTTGGCTTCTAACTGATATACTTCCCACTTGTTTTGAGCTTCAGTTGCTAAGATAAGTATAATTGTATCAAGACGACCCACTAGAGCAAACACCTCTGTGTAGTCAATCCCATATTGTTGCGCATGTCCTTTGGCTACCAATTTGGCTTTGTGCTTCTCTACATTACCATGCTCGTTAAGCTTGATTTTAAAAACCCATTTAACTCCAATAGCTTTGACTTCACTTGGCAAGGTTGTGAGTCTCCACGTGCCATTTTTCTATATCCAATCAATCTCTTTAGCCATCACATTTCTCCATTTTTTTTTCTTTCACGACTTCATTGTATGTGACTAAATCTTCTTCTGTTATCATCACCATTGCTTCTTTTTCCTTCTTTGAATGTTCTTCTCTGATTGTGTATTCTAACATCCATGTAGGAGCTCTTCGAGATCTTCCTTCAGGCGAGCTTGGTTCACTTCCACCTAATGAGCTTGTGGAGGAGTTTCCTCCTGTTTGCGAGACATTGTTACTTGTATTATTAGAATCAAAGTCTTATTCTAACTCTAACTCTTAGTTAGCATCTGAATTTTTTATCTCCCTAGTCCAGTACATCTGATTGTACTTCTTCTCTGCTTTGTTCCCGCTTGCAGTATGCATTTTCTTCAAATTTTACATCTCTGCTATTTAATATTTTCTTAGTAATAGGATCAAAGAGTTTGTATGATTTGGACTCCTTGCTCACACCAAGAAATATGTGTGCTTTACTTTTATCATCTAGCTTTCTTCTTCTCTGATGTAGAACATGTACATGAGCAAGACATCTAAATGTTAAGAAGTGATCCATTCTTAGTTTGCAGTCAGTCCCTGCTTCTTGTAGAGTTATGTTTTCAAGAATTGTTGACAAATTTGTTGCTTCATCCCATAACACCTTCGACATTTGTTTCTTAGACAACATGGAGCGCACCATATTCATGATCGTCTTATTCTTCCACTCAGCAACACCATTTTGTTGGGGGGGGGGGTGTATGTTGCCGTTAGTTGTCGAGTGATCGCATTGCAAAAGTCTGTAAACTCATTTGAGTTATACTCGCCTCCTCTATCCGTTCTCAAACACTTGATGATGCTTGTTCCAGCCTCTTTTTTAGCGCATGTTTTGAATCTATTGAAAATGATTTTGATTTATGATTCAAAAAATATATCCAAGTTTTACGTGTAAAGTCATCAATAAAACTTAGTATACCTTTTATTGCTGCTGGAAATTGGGCTAATAGGACCACAAATATCTGAGTGAACAAGCTGTAATTTGTGTGTTGCTCTCCAGAGATTTATTTTAGGAATGTGATCTCGATGATGCTTCCCGACGAGACAATGTGTGCACAACTTCTATGGAATTTTCATAGTAGGCAGCCCTTTAACCATTCCTCGATATGCAAGAGTTATGAGTCCCTTGTAGTTGAGATGTCTAAATCGTGAATGTCATAGTCGTGATTCATCGTCAGCTAGAACTTGGAGACATTTAGGTAGAATTGATACCATCTTTGCCAAGAAATAGAACATTATATTTCTAGTTATATATGAATACATGATTAATCCTCTACTAGGATGAAACACTTTGCAAGTTTCATTCTGAATCAATATGGTGAACACATTCTCTTGTAACTGCATAACACTTAACAAATTATTCTTGAGTTCAAGAATATAATAAACATTGGTGATTACCTGAACGATGCCATATACACACAATCGCACACTTTTTATTCCCATCACTACAATAGAACTATCATTTCCAAACTTTATTGTTTGCTTGAAGCCATCATTCAAGTCTGTAAACCACTCCTTATTTTCACTCATGTGATTGCTGCATCCAGAGTCCAAGAACCAGATTTCTTCTCTTGTTGCTTTCTTTTCTTCAACATATGCCATGAGTAACATCTCATTTTCATGCTCTGATTCAGGAATGTTGGCCCTTCTTTCCCAATCTGGACATTCGTACCGGAAATGTCCTTTTTTTTTTTACACTTGAAGCACTTTATTGCTGCTTTGTAAGCTGGTGATGGTCTACATCATCCCCGTCCTCAATATTCTTCAAACATGCTTCTGCCTCTTCCTCTCCCGCTTCTCTCCTCTTAAGTCACTTTAAACACCTGCTCTTCTTCATTGATCTTTCTTCGGAAATTTTGTTCATGAACAACAAAGTACATCAACTAAGAGACAAATTATGTCTTTTGATTCCTCTATTGAGACAACTATGTAATTGAACCTCTCAATGAGAGTTCACAGAATCTTCTCCACAATCTGAATCCTCTCCATCATTGCGCATGTTGCATGTCACCATCATGACTCAGGAGAAATATTCGACAATGATTTCTCCTTCTTTCATTTCCAGAATTTCAAATTCTCTTCTGAGAGCTTGCAATTGGGCTCTTTGTACCCTCTTACTTTCTTGATATTTCCTTCTCATTGATTCCTAAAATTGTTGTGCAGATGTATCTTTCGGCATGATTATCTTAAAAATGCTCTTATCTATGGCTGCAAATAGATGATGTTTTACTTTCAAATTTTTTAGTTTCAGC